TCTGCTCTAATCACACCGCAGTGCCTTCCTCGACTCCTTGTGCCCATCACTTTGGGGCCTTTGAGAGACTTTCCCTTTGCTGCTCCCCCTTTGGGAGGGGGGTGTTGGGGGCTTGCCCAGGTTGTGAATTGGCGTTTCTCCCAAAATCGCTCTTTTTCAAGTGGTCCAACCCAGCCACTCGCAACCTGCAGCTACGAGTTAATGGTTCATACAGGACTCTGAGAAAGGGGGTAGGGGGCTGATATTTGGGGGCAGAACACCAGTCTGTGGTCAGTGATGGAGGCCGCCCAAGCAGTTTTACAGTCATTTTGCAGAGTGTTTGGGGCTCTTGCAGAAAATTAAGCAGCTTTCCACAATATTAGTAATGGGGCTGCTAGCAAGATCGGTGTCAAGTTCCTGGTAAATAATGGGGAAATAGCAAGGCCCCCTTGATTCTGGAAATTCCCGTGGCCCCCCTTCATCCTCCTGGCTGATTTCTACCCAAGCCAGAGGGAACTCAGCAAAATCTCCATGCGGGGGTGGGGGGGGAATGGGGGAGAAGGAAAGGGCTTCAGGTCCCTCCAGCCCCCTCCTCGTTCTCTCTCCCCTGCAGCCGTGTGCGAGGGCAACTTCACCTGCGCGGACAACGAGGTGTGCGTGAGGCCGAACGAGTGTCGCTGTCGCCATGGCTATTTCGGGGCCAACTGCGAAACCAGTAAGCCTGGGGCGTCCTCCAGACAGGGCGGGAGCAACCTGCAAGCCGGGGTGGAGCCAGGAGCCCCCCACAGGCCAGGCCAGGGTCCCCCTCGGGGGTGTCCAGAAAGTTGGGAGTGCAGCTCCGAGAATTCACAGCTGTCCTGTGAATTGCAGAGCCAACACATGGAGGATGCCGGTTGGGGAAGCTGAACGTGCAGATCCGTCAGCAGCTTCTAGCGCACAGCAGCGCAAAGTCTTAGCATCAGGGCTTAGGATAATAAGGATAAACGCGGGGAGAGAGGGTCGTCGTCATCATGTCCATTTTATATCTCATCTTTTTGAGTGCTGCTTGTGGGCTTCTCAGAGGTGTTAGGAAGGCCCGGGTTCAAGTCCACCCTCAGCCCGGAGCCTCACTTGGTGCCTTTGGGCCACTCACTTGTGCCCACCTCACAGGGTTGCTGTGAAGAAAACTTTGGAGTAGACCCGTAATGTGCGCTTCCTCGCACTCTCAGAAGAAAGGCCGCGAGAAATGAAAGGATAACTAAACAATGAAACGGGGTGGCTTTTTGTGCAAAGAGCATTTCTGATAGATAACCCTTGTGGGCTCTCGGCACACCCGGTAACTCCAGTCCAATTTACTTTATTTATGTATTTATTTATTAGCAGCATTTCAAGGCTGCCTCAGTCCCACAGGACTCTTCCGTATGCGCTTCGAATCCTGTTGATTGAGGGAGCTTAATGATAATTGAAATATCAAATGCGACACCGAAAATTTTTTAAAAAATGAAAGCGGGACAAAAATTAATTAGCCGTTAAAATGCCGGCAGGTAGCAGGGAGAAGTTCCTTCTATGGCTGGGGAGCAGTGCAGTAGAAACCGTCCCCCAACAAGCCAGGGAGATTTGCTGGGAGAGCGTGGCATCGCCTCCTGCCATCTTCCTGGCTGGGCAGATCGAGGGCTGCAGCGATCTCGTGCCTCGCCGAGCGGCGGGTCAGCCCTTCTGTTCAATGCCCTTTTGAAAACCACCAACGTGAACCATCAACGGGGGGCTTGACGGAGTGGGTCACACGAGCAGAGGGAGGAGATGGGGAGCGGTCACCCTGCGGTGCTCACGACCCTTGCCGCCCCCACAGAGTGTCCCCGGCTGTTCTGGGGCCCGGACTGCAAGGAGCTCTGCCACTGCTACCCCAACGGGCAGTGCGAGGACGTGACGGGCCAGTGCACGTGCCACGCCAACCGCTGGGGGCCCAAGTGCGAGAACGGCTGCCTCTGCAAGCACGGGAAATGCGACCAGAAGACGGGCAAGTGCTCCTGCGAGCCGAACTGGTGGGGGCCCCAGTGCTCCAGTGCCTGCTACTGCAGCCTCAACTCCCAGTGCGACCAGAAG